AAAGATAACAAATCTGGTTTTAAGATTTTTCCATTCATTGAGACATATATAGACAAAAATGCACTGATCAGAAACCAAACAATCCAAATGCATGATGCTCATTATGTCACTCACTTTCAGAGGTTAGGAAACGTGGATATGACAACTATTACCTGAAGACCATCGGACAATAATCTTTCCAATAGAAATCAACTGAATAATGCGGAGGTGTAAACTGAGAACCCTTTCTAGGGAAATACATCCTTATTCTGGCTCGATCTCCAAAATCAGAAGGTCGAACTTCACGTACAGGCACTGGTGTGATCTTCCCAACAGTGTACCTGTGAGCTTCAAGCAGAATATCTAGTAAGTGTAAAATAATGACTTCAGCAGAAACAGATCTGCCAAATATTTTTAATTTTTATACTGGCAGACTTCAGGTAAAATATTGAGAGATCAGTGCCGGTGAATATGCATGAAATCAGAAACATTGAAGATTGAACACACATGCAAACCAGATGTTGAATATCAAACCGTCACTTTTGTGAACATCGTAGTACTAAAATTTAAGACTACAAAGGTGTGGGTCACGCGATTTACCTGATACCGAGTTGCAAATTAAGCATTAGATAATAGCTTCTGTTGGCTCCAAACATGTCAATACATGAACTCTTTGGCATCACAGAAACATTATTTCGTTGTTTACTTTTCCGGGATATCTCTGTATGATTACTCTCTCTCTCTCTAACGAACACCCCTTGCACGTATTCTCTCTCATAAACTGAAGTGTTGTTATCTCGCATCTCATGTTCAATATCCTCAGAGGCTTGGGACATTGAGCTTAAGGAGTCATAACGTATAAAATCTCTAGAAGGATAGCGATCGGTCCAATTTTTATCTAATGACATGGCCTTGTGTGATATACGCCTTGAATTTCTTAAAATTCCACCAATAGATATTTTCTCTGAAAAACTGCACTTGACAGTTGGTCTAGCGTTGCCTTCCGTTGAATTTAGCAAATGTCGAGACAACGAGCTTGATCCGTCACTGCTATATCCTACAGAGCTGCACCACTCCTTTAGGGACGGATGTTTAGTTCCTGCTGGATAAAATGTTCCTTTTCCATCCTTTAGGCCCCGACTCCACGTTCCAAAATAATATCCTCCATCAGCAAACCTGTAAACTCCACACCCGTCTCTTAACCCATTTAACCAAGAGCCATTGTACAGATCACCATTTTCCCATTTCATGACCCCCCTTCCACACATTTTCCCGCCTTTCCAACTCCCAGTATATGTATTCCCACTACTCCACAAATACCTACCACTACCTTCCTGTACTCCTTCCTTCCACGATCCTTCATAGATATCTGAATTCCTGTACTGTTTTTTTCCCATCCCGTGCTGAATATTCATCCTCCAGGAACCCTGGTAGAAAGAACCATCAGGTCCATTAAAAATGCCATCACCATGAAGGTAACCTCCAGAGAAATCACCAACATATTGTGCTCCTGATGTCCAAATCAGCTTCCCCTTACCTGTCATTTTCCCTTCTTCCCAATCACCCTCGTATACTGTTCCATCACACCATGTGTATTTACCGTTACCATGAGGCAGAGTTCCCTTGAAATTTCCAACGTAGACATCTCCATTTGAGAAGGCTTTCTCGCTACGCAACATATGAAAAAAAGAAAGATGTCATTTATGGAACTTGGTTTATATATCAGAGGAGAGAAGATAGAGAGATAACCTGAGAATTATTACCTCACAGCATACTCCATGACAGCATATAATAATTAACTCAGCTAGCATTCACAAACTTCATCTCGTACAGGCTTTCTAACTATAGACAGATCATCAAGTAGTAACAAATACTCTTCAATCAGCTTCACTATCTACAATAGAAGCAGCAAGCGGGTTTTGGGACTCAGTAATTAAAGCACATACATCAAACAAAAAGTCATAGATCATATTTCCCATTTTGTGATGCCAGATTCTGATTTTACTTCTGCACTAGCGACAAGAAGCACGATCCTTTTAGGTTATCACACATTTGTATAACGGTTGCCAATCTTGAATGGCTCCACTAACGAATAATCACCATCGATATTATCCTCAACTTAACCGCCACATGCGGCAATCCAACATGTGCAGAGTTTTATACAAAAAGGCGTATGCGTAATTAGTAGTAGAACCATTCAATATAAAAGAGATTTAACCCGGTTTCCGATGTACGACAAGCTTCAACGTATACAAATGCATAAACAAACAAGTAAATAATTAGTGAGTTAAACGAGGAGGAACAGCATGAACTCACCCGGGTCCAGAAGAAAAACTCGAATCGAGAACCGATAAGTGATCATTTGGTTTGAAGCTGTTTCCTGTTTTTTCGCCAGCTGGGAATGAAGAATGCAGAATCAAGGAAAACAAGGGGAAGGTGAACAAAACCATCCCAAAAACAGAGCCTTGATTCCGTTGCTAAGGAATCCTGCCACGTGTAATGCAACCGTAGATTGGGCCCCACATCTTTGTTTTCTTTCACCTTCTACTTTATGGGATTATCAATATTTAGTGTGATATATGGTCACTACCTCATTTATCATCGTTATATGAATTTGAATTTGGAGATTTGTGTCTATCTACTACATGATTTTCGAAATTCAAACTCATCAAACGATGATAAATAAAATTTTTGAAATTCAAACTCATCTAACGATGATAAATAAGATGGTGAGTATACACCACACTAAATGGTGGTGAGCAAAAAAAGCTCTGGGCATCATCACGTGGGACCACATGGAATGTGATTGGCTGACAAATAGACCGAAAGGAAGGGACGAGAGATTTTTCAGTGTGATCGGTACACGAAATAATATATCACCTGTCATTATACAAATGATAATGTATGTGTTAAAAAATTAACACATATCTCACTGTTATATAATGACAAGTGATTCCGATCACAGAAAAATATCTCCAGAAAGGACGGGAAAAGCGTGTACCTGCGTTGTACCCGATCTAGAATCCTAAAAGCAGCCGCCGACTCACACCAAGTTCACAGCCACGAAAAGTATAGTTTAACTAGGGGCTGAGGGGGTCGGATCGGGTGTATCTCGGCGCACCAAACGAGTCGTGATTCCCGTGGGGAATTGGATTCCATTGGTCGCTTCAGTCTTCCGCTAAACCTAAAAGCCATGTGGAATAGCCTCTGCTTGCAACTTACCGGATTCTCTCACAATTGTATTTTAATTCCAATAATGTTATTCTTATTATATTTTTTTACCATCTTAGGTGGCAAATAAGTTGGACAACGATCTAAATTAATTAGCATTTAATCAAAATTTTAATCAATAATTAATGAAAAAATTATTAATTAAATGATGATTGTGGTATACGAGAAGTCTCATTCTTCCACCTAAGACTATTTAAGTATTTTAATTAATAAAAAGATTGAAATTAAATGATGTAGCTTGTTCAACTCATCCGCTACCTAAGATGGTAAAGAAATGTGATATAAAATTATGGTAATAATAACATTTACTCTTTTAATTCGTTTGAAAAAACTTACATACAACGGATAAATTATTACCACATTCTTATCTAATAATGTATTATTATGTGCAAATTATTTTTCATATAAAAATGTATTATTAAATAGAAATTGCACGTGAGAGTAAACGCATTTTATATATTGCTGTCCAATTTGAGGCATCCCCCTTATAAAAATTCGGATCAATCAAAATGAGTTTGCCTGAGACTCAATTTCAAAACGAACATGTGACGCAAACAGGCAGTCAATACCATACTCTCTAATTCTTCGGTAAGGCCGCTCATGCCAGATCACTGGTTTGTACAAATGATATGTGCAAGATAGGTCCTCTCAAATTACCTTAAGTAACTGAAGAAAGTTGAGATTCTACCATAAAATCAGTTGGCAATATAAAAAGTAGCCAATTAGTTATAAGTACACGCAAGATCTATTATTTCTCGCGATGTGGGATTCACTCCAACAGTAAAATGTACATGAATCCCTTTTCCACAAAAATAAGTGACTGTATTCTTGCAGGATTTTTCTTAGATTTTGAATATGATCCCCTTGTGCATAAGTGTTTTTTTTTGTATTTACACACATACATAGATGCATAAAATACCTACACACATACATAAAGGGATTATGCGAGAAACTTTAGTTTTGAAACTGTGGCGGTATTTGTATTTCAGGAACTGTGTTCCTCCTTACTGTTTCTTCCCGTATCGTACGACTGCTGTAACAATACTAATTTTTTCTTTCCTGGTCAGGACAATGCAAGTCGGTCATGGTCACATTTTTTGCTAGCATGGTGGAATCATCAAACCCTGCTTTGCTGCTAACAAACCCTACCGCTTTCCCTCAGGTACGCGGGCTGGCGTAAACAATGTCAATAGATATGCCGAGTTGCGGCGAAAAATCTCAATGAGCAATGAAATCTTCAATGTCTATAAAATGTTCAGTGGAAGCTTTTCACCTCTTCTGTTTCAGCTTTGACCTTTTCAAATCACTCTCAGTTTCCTTCCTGCATTCCACAGGGACTATTTTTCACTCCCTGAGAAGAAGACATGCTTTTTCAAATGCTACGCTGGATGCCAGGACAAGGTTCTGTTGCTGATTCAGCTACAAGAAACCCGATACCGAATAGCTCTCACTTACTTGGTCGCCAACAAATTGCGGAGATGTTCTCAAAGCAGCATATGATTTCGAAAGCTTCGAAATCTCGCAAGAAGGATAAAAGGTTTGAAATCTGTGAAATACCAGGTGTATTCCATCCTAGCTCAACACTTAGTGAGAAAAATAGTGCAATTTGATGGTTGAGGTCAAAGCTTGGCATTGCCATCAACATATTCGAGCTAGTTGCTTGGTGTATAAAAACCCGGGGTTCGACTGGTTTTGGCTGACCCTTTGTACAGTGAAAGAAATGAATTAGGTTTATCACATAACGTTCGACGCATGTAATCAGATACAAATAGTTTACGACACAATTGACCTCAAAAGGATTCATTTGAGATCTCATCGACGGGATACAAATAGATTCTATCGGACCATGCATTTCTTACCGTTGGATCAACGTCCGAAATGCATTTCCAAATTGCACTATTACACTTGAAGCCACTTCCGAAGGCTATTTGCCACACTCGGTTTCCTTTCTTCATCCTTCCTTTTGCCTCCAAGTAGCAGAGCTCATACCAAACTGAAGACGATGAAGTATTGCCAAATCTATGTAATGTCATCCTTGAAGCTTCTCCATCTTCCTTGTCCAGCTTCAGACTAGCTACTATGCCGTCGATGACTGCCCTTCCGCCAGCATGGATGCAGAAATGCTGGAGAGCCTTCTTGAAATTCGGCACATAAGTTCCCTTCTGGCGTGGTGAAAATAACAGTTTCTTGCGGATTACTGACCATACATATCGTAGCTGCTCGGAATATGGCAGCACGAGTGGCCCCAACTTGGATATGTTAATTCTTAAAGCTTTGGTGGCGACAGGTACAAGTGCCCTTGACAGTGAGACCCCTACAACACCATCTTCATCTGGTTGCTGGAAGACAGATTGGTATGCTTCATCATCCGAACCGATGTGTGTTCGGACAAGATGCTGGAGCTCGTACTTTGCTATTTTCTTGTCCTGCTTCCTACTGGACAATAGGATAGCAGCTCCTCCCATCCGAAACAAAAGGTTGGGAATAAGCATGGACTTTCTTCTACCTATATAACCATTTGGAGTTATAGCTTCCATGCTGAGAACTAAAGCCAATGAGTTCTTGTGGACTAGTAGAAGATCTTTAGCCAAACTTATCGACAACAGTCCAGCACTGCAACCCATTCCGCTGAGGCTGATGCTCTTTATGTTGCTACGGAATCCAAACTTGTTTATGACCATTGATGTAATGGACGGAGTTGGGCAGAAAAGGCTACAGTTTGAGACAAGGATGTCAATGCTTGTTGGATTTATTTTGTGCTTGGAAAGAAGGTCTTCGACTACAGAGAAGAGAACTGTTTCGGTTTCTTTTCTAGTAGCGTTTAAAGAAGAATGTGGAGGGAACTCATGGATTGTAATAGGCATGCAACTCTCCTCTCCGATTCCCGATCTTTCCATTACCTTGATTTGGAAATTTCGGCTTTCTTCGTCATAGAGGTTTGAAATTTCAAGGTGTTCAATGTAGCTCTCCTTTGCGATTCGCAAGCTATTGGGAGGCAGATAGCAAGTGAAGTCGACAAGGTATATACTCTTGGATTTGAATTTGAAACCGAGAACCACAATGATAAGGACAGTCGCGGTTAAGAAATGTGCGATGGAGATTGGAGATTCTGTAATGTATCCAAGCAATGAAGTCTCCATCTCAAATTGTTTTGTTTTGATTTGATTATATGTTGTTTGCTTATATATTAGTAGGAAAGAAAGTCTGAAATTCTTTCTAACTTACCTAAGATTCATGCAGAGTGCATTTTACTTGTGCTAATTAGCCTTAGGGTACTCACTACATGGGGTTGGATTTAATTGTTGTTTAGGGATTGGATTATTTCGGATACGCTACTTTCAAATTCGGGATTAATTTGTTGACATGCTCGGCCTTTCGGGTCATCTTGACGTTGGAGCCTTTCGGGTCATCTTGACGTTGGAAGAGGTTTCAAGTTCGAATTCCCTGACCTCCCTCCATCAATAAAAACGTAGTACTTGATTGTTTTAGTCCAACCTTAGGACTTATTTTGCCATACAACTATTTGTCTACTGGTACTTCTCTAAACTATATTGGAAGAGGTTTCAAATTCGAATTCTCTTACCTTTGTCGATAAAAACGGAGAGAGACCCCTCATCCCAAGTGTCCATGTTAGTCGTCAATCTTTCTTTTGTAGATGTTAGCATCCCATGGGTAAAGTCAATCTCTAGTTTGTTTAGTCATAAAGTTTTCATGTGCATACAATTAGGAATCCTTTTAACTTGACAACTACAATTTTGTGTGAAACCAACTAAATCTCTCCGCAATATTAGCAGTGAAAACAACTTCCTAATTAGGCCTCTTGTCATTTGTATTAAAAACACGCCTAGAAAAATTTCTCATCATAATTTTTTTCAAAAAATGTTTGGCGAAGCCATGAACATATAAATGATGTGGCATGGACTTGTAACTGGTTGCAATTTTGGCACTCCAAATTGAATATTTTATCGAGCTTCAGTCGAATGATTATCAAGAGAGTAAGAACTGAAGAACTTTAAACATGTTACCCAAAAAATACAATGTCCGACGTGCGATGGATGCAATGGACGAAAATATGAACTTCTCATGAATTGAAAATGTGATGCAACAAAGGCTAAAGCAAGTATAATGGATTTCATTAGGTTAACATGAAGAGTTCTTTTAAGTATAGACATAGATTATCATTGGTTGCATCTACACTATGTCATTTGGTTACATTTGGGGCCTCATCGTCAATGGGATACGAATGGATGCTGTCCGACCACGCATTTCTTTCTGTCCGATCAATATCCTTATTGCATTTCCAGATTGCACTGTTACACTTGAAGCCACTTCCAAACGCAATTTGCCAAACTCGGTTTCCTTTCTTCACCCTTCCTTTTGCCTCCAAGTAGCATAGCTCGTACCACACCGAAGATGATGAAGTGTTGCCAAATCTGTGTAACGTCATCTTCGAAGCTTCTCCATCTTCTTTCTGCAGCTTGAGACTATCTACAATTCCATCAATCACCGCCCTTCCACCGGCATGTATACAGAAATGCTGGAGAGCCTTGTTGAATTTCGGAACGTAAATTGCCTTTTGCTTTGGAAAAAACCAAAGCTTCTTGTGGATCATTGACCATCCATATCGAAGCAGCTCAGAATATGGTAACACGAGTGGCCCCAACTCCGATAAGTTAATTCTCAGAGCTTTGGTGGCCACATGTACAAGTTCCCGCGACAGTGAGACCCCTACATGTCCTGCTTCATCAGGTTGCTGGAAAACAGATTCGTATGCTTGGTCATCCGAACCAATGTGGGTTCGAACAAGATGCTGGAGCTCGTACTTAGCTATTCCCTCGTCTTGTTTCCTATTTGATAGTAGGATAGCAGCTCCTCCCATTCGGAACAAAATGTTTGGAAGAAGCATTGATTTTCTTTTACCATTATAACCGTTGGGAGTTACAGCTTCCATGCTGAGAACTAAAGCCAATGAATTCTTGTGAACTTTTAGAAGATCTTTAGCCAAACTTATCGACAAGATTCCCGCACTACAACCCATTCCACCGAGGCTGATGCTCTTTATGTTGCTTCGAAATCCAAACTTGTTAATGACCATTGATGAAATGGACACCGTAGGGCAGAAAAGGCTGCAGTTCGATACAAGAATGTCAATGCTTTTCGGATTTATGTTGTGTTTGGAAAGAAGGTCTTCAACAACAGTGAAGAGAACCAGTTCAGTTTCTTTTCTAGTAGCTTCCAATGAAGAATAAGATGGGATCTCATGCACTGTAACAGGCATGCAACTCTCCGATCCGATGCCTGATCTTTCCAATACCTTGGCTTGGAAGTTGACACTTTCTTTATCATGAATTCCCGATATTTCAATGTGTTCGATGAATTTCGAAGCTGGAACCCGCAGGCTCTCAGGAGGCAGGTAGCAGGTGAAATCGACAAGGTATATACTCTTGGATCGTAAAAGAAAATAGAGAACTAGGGCAGTGATCAAGACAGTTGTAGTTAAGAAATGGGTGAGGGAGATTGGAGATAATTCTGTGGTGATAGGTGAGAAAGATGCAAACAATGCGGTCTCCATGTCGACTTATTAATCGAGGAGTTCGCTTTGTTTTCACATATAATGCAATTTAAGTACGCAGTGAAGGGTGTCTGAGATTTTACGCGTGCGTTGTTTGTTTCGTTGAAAAAGCTGAGATTTTACGCATGAATGATCATTTTTGTGACGATTAGACCTAAAGATTGTTCGCTTCTTAGTGCCTAATCTGTCTATCTTTCTTCTTTAGATAGTTACATTCTACGGGTAAGGGCAATCTCCAGTTGGTTTGATCACAAGGTTTTCATGATCATACAATTGTGAGGACCTTTTTAACTTGAGAACTCCCAATTTATGTGATGTACCATATATACTTCTCATCAATCGACAACATTTGATAGGTTTGAAATATTGTCCCAATAACATTCTGTAATAAAAATGCTACGGTACTTCTCAGCATTAGAAGTCAATAGACTTGGTGTTCTAGGCTGATAATCATGGGCAAGCCCTCGATTGTTTTTTGGATTTAGATCTGGGAGTGGAGTGTAAAACCATAACCATGTGTTGAACTACGAAACTTTCAGCATGATAGACACCTAATTCAAACACATTTCCAACTAGCACTAAAGTGACATATAAAATGATAGAAGCACATATGAACAAAAGTGCTTTCGCATTCCCAGATAGGCCTTAAGAGCTAATTGGTCTTCTTCAAACTTCTTCATTAGAAGTCGCTAACGTTGCTGTTAACTCTCCATAACAATTCACGCTTAGCCAACTTGGGGCAAGGTGTTCTACCAAAAAATAAATAAAACCTGGGGCAAGGTGGGAAATTCACAGTAACAAACTGGCTTGGGTTTGGTTGAAGTGGGCTCAATCTCATGCAGTCTTAAAGGCCCACAACCAAGAAGCCCATCGTTTCAACTAAGTACGAAGCCCACGCCACACAACTCTTCCTCCTCCAACTCCATCTCTCGCTCGCTTTCTGTCTATTTTCTCTCTGTTTGCTGCGCCGCCGCCACCGGTCCACCACCACCCCAAAGCACTGGTCGACGCCATCTCCGCCTCCACCATCTCCGCCTCCACCATCTCCGCCGTATACAGGCTTCACAGTAACAGAGATTCGAGAAAAGGGTAATTCTTATGACTGATAACTTTTTATGAAATGATATTTTAGTGTTTTTGTAATTTGAAATTCTTATATGAATTTAACAAAATTTGAACTCATTATTTGTTTTAATTTTTGGTTTAAATTTCTGATTGAAATGATTTATGTTGAAATTGGGAATGAATGCGTGGCAGATGGCGTTGAGAGGAGTGTGGCAATTGCAAAAACTGGTTGTGAGCTATTCTGATTGGGGAGGAAGCAGTAGGGGCATCAGGTTTGTTCGTCAAAACCCCACCACTGCTTGCAATTCTCCGTGTATTCTTATCAAGTTAGATTATCTGATTTTATCAATTTCGAAAACTTATGGGAATTTCTCATAGAAGCCCTCGATACCATTAGAACAACACCAACAACAAAGCCTTATCCCACTAAATGGGGTTGGCTGTATGAATCCTAGAACGCCACTGCTCTCGATTTTGCACCAAATCTTCCGTGAGCTCTAAGTACTCAATACCATTATAGTTCAGAGAAAAACACTTTGAACCCAATATTTAAGAAAAACACTTTGAACCCAATATTTAAGAAAAACACCCTTCTTTCTTTGCAATGGAAGAAGTGGTTTTTTATTCTCCAACTGAGTTCTTGGATTGTATTTTTATAGAACTTGTAGTTGTCAGGGTGTTTATTTTTTTTCAAATTTACTGGAATCCGCATAACTACTCTGATAAAGTATTGAGTGGCACTTTTTCCATGCAAATGTGGCTTAAAATTTGGAAATTATAATTTATTGCAAGATCATTTTGAAGGGAAACTGTTTTTGTTAGTTTTCTTGATAATATAGGAAGGGAATGTGTTTCTCTAGGCGCAGTATGAAATTGGACACTAGGGCCTAAGCTTCGTGACTTGGCCGCATTCTTTGCACTTTTAGGACATGACTTTTGGGTTGCAGCTGGGGAATGGGTTTGTGTTATGTGTTAGGAGGTGCTCTGGTATTTTGCATTACAATGTTAAGTTTGGAGGTTAATAGACTAAGAGCTGAACTGAAGTGAAGGTCATCATGGCATCGTCGGTCCAGCTACTGGAACTCTTTACGAGGCATATTTATAATCTTTTAGCCTTTAGCCTTTAGGACCTTCTTAAATCGTAACACACACAAATGAATTTATGGGTCTCTTAGGATATTTAGGTGATATTTTCATTTAATAGCACATTCTCTTTCATTTTATTCCAATCTTTTTGGGGTTCCCAACATCGCATCCCCCTAAGCGAGGCTCTAATTCTTTCCTGGTGTTCAAGAAGGGAATTGAATCCTTTTTCATTTCATTATATTGATGGATAATAATGGAATGTTAAACTTTACTGCTTTGTTTTTCAAGTTTTGATGAATTTAGTTGTTTACATGGTAGATCATTTATGGAGACATATCTACCGACATTTAAGGAGAAGAATCCTCAGCTAGAGGTGATTACTGAACTCATCCGCGGTCAGCACCCACATCTGAAGGGCTTATACAGTAACTTTCTCTCCCTATCTCTCTCTTATCAAATACCCGTGCATGCAGTCACTTGCACTCATGGTCACTGCATAACACCTTAAATCCTCATGAGAGTTTTCTTTGTCAATGCACAGAGAACAAGACTGAAAAGGTGGTATGTGTGAAGAACATGGATTCAGAAGAGGTTCTTCAATATGCAAACAGGCTAAGAAACCAACTGGGGAGAAAAGTGGTGAAGCTGAAGACTAGACATGTAACCAAACATCCCAGCGTGCAAGGTACCTGGACAACTGACGTAAAGTTTTGAAGCACAAGAAACAATCGCATCGCAAACAGTTTCTTCTGGTGTGTTTCCGAGCAGTTGTGGACTATAGTTCGGAATTGGTAGTCAAGTCAGTTGTTTACTTTAGCAGCTTCTCTTCTATGAATATGGTATTATGTTCTTGATCAAATAATTTAACCTCATCAAGATGCTGTTCGAGATTATGATATTCTCAATTGGATGCTTACATGGAAAGTGACTGCTTATCATCGAGAAAATAGAAAAAAAGGCTTATTTTTAGCAACGCTTCCATAATCTTCACCCAAATCTCACTTCACACTGCACTGTGTTGCGTCTCACTTTACTCCCATGCTATTGTTTCTTGTCCCTGTTCTGTCAATTCCGTCAACAAAATCGTTAAAGAGATGTGTGGGTTGAAAATATTAAATTTTTATCTTCTTGGGTTCACTTTTTTTATTTGTAATTCTAATTAGTTTCGCCTATAATGCCCATGCCACATTAGTACTTGATGGTTTTGTTGACGGAGTTGTCGGAATAAGGTAAACTGAGCCACAGAACAAGAGCACATACGATGGGGTGACACAACAGAGTGTATAAGATTATGGGAGACTTAATAAAGAATACAGAGAGGTGGGTTAAACTCAAATTAGGGTTTGATTTCTCCATATTTAAGAAAAAAAATATAAGAGAAGGTTGAATTTCAAGATTCGCGAATATCAATTTCAATGTTATTGGATGCTTTTGCAAAGATTCTTAGGGTTCAGTCGTGGGAATCTCTACCTCTATCGCTCTACCCTTCTTTATTTTTCTTAATCTAGAGAAATCAGACTTTGAGTTTAACCCACATCTTGCACTCATGGGTCTTACTAACAAAGTTGAAAGGATTAAATTGTCCATGTCACGTTATCACAATTAACAGCTCTTTTTAACTTATTTGACGAAATAAGATAAAGTGAGACATTGAGGAAGAGTGTATGTGTTAAAGTGAGACAATATAGAGTGTAAGGGTAAAGTGCAACACAGAGAAAGAGTGCAAGTGTAAAGTGAGTCAATATAAAATATATGGGACTAAAGTGAGACTTGCTGAAAAGTACCGGTATCATAACTAAAAATAAGCCTATATAACTTTCAATGGAACGAATGATATTAAACAACTTACAGAAACCAAAGAATGAGCTCAAAGTATCTTTCTCTTTGAAGACACATGAGAAACGAAAAGAAAGTAACACAAAATGGCTTGATTGTGCCAACAAAATAATAATGAATCTAATTAATAAATTAATTAGAACAAAATGGGTAATTTCGTTAGTTGACTGCAGAACAAATGCGGCGGATTTCACCATTTGTGGCAGATTTTACACCGATGTTACTCATTTTCACCATCGACTTTCCGAACTCGATGTTGAAATTCAATGCTTGTAAGCCTCTCACGCCCAAAAACCGTTGGACAAAACTTTTAGTGGTGGCGTCGGTCCATAACTTCTGATCCGACTCAAGTATCCCACGACCATTCTTCATGTTTGTGAAGAAAGTTGCATCGAATCGACTTGAGCTGCCCGTGTCTAAATCAACACGCCTGGCCGTGTCACCATTTTCAGGGCAAATTGATCGTAGTTGAGCAAGGAATAAAGGGTCGATTGTTTCGTCAGCGCCATTTCCGGTGGTGGTGAAGTTATACAGTCTGTACCTGAAGAACTGGCAAGCTGAGGTGCCAATGGTGTGTGCGCCAACTAGCGTGACAAGATCTTGAGTGTTGAGACCCAAATCTTGGAACTTGGCCTTCTGTACATCAATGGAATCTCTAAAGCCAGGCAGATTAGTAGTCTCGGTTGCCAGCGAAACTCGTCCATCTCTTCTTCCAGTAGGCACATTCCAAGCGAATCCTTTGGTCTGTAGAATTAAATTTATGCACATTAGAAGGAGATAATTAATTAACTAGACATTATAATTTATCTAGATACATAAATATTGAGCAATGTTATTCCCAAACTTGGAATGTAATTATGCATTCCTTCCGTTAGTGTTTTAATATTAGTGTATGACTATCCGTTTTTAACGATATATCAACTTAAAATTAACAAGCACACAAGAGCTGCAAACAAATTAATAATACTTACCAGAACCACGGAATCACGGGCAGCAAGAGCGAGAATATCTGCACAAGAAACAACCCCGGGACATGCAGCTTCGAGCTCGGTCTTTGCATCGTCAATAACTTCCCAACCTCTTAAACCGCGGTTAGGTCCAGCAGTTTTCTCAGTGTTGGGGCCGTCAAGAAGGACAGAAGCATCACAACCTTGGACAAAGCAGTCATGGAAGTGCATCCTCAGCAAGCCAGGAGCAACGGAGGGGTTGGAGTTGAAATGAGTTTGAACTGTTTGTTTGACAATAGACTCTGCCGTGGGACATGTACGCGAATAGAATCCAATGCGCGTAAGTTGGCCTTGGCATTGCACCACCAAACCCACAATAAGCATCTGTAGAAAGTGCAGTAACAATAATTTGGAGGAGCTCATCTTGTGGTACAGCTTGGTGGTTAAAATGATGTGTAAATAGTGCAAGCTAGACGCAGCTTGTAGCTTTTGGCTTTGCTAGTAGGAAGATGATATCTGCTGTGAAACAAAGTGCTTTTGTCTCTGTGAGTATTGTAATCTGCTGGTTGTGTTTTGGAGTGAATGAAGCCTTCAAGCTTCAAGTATATATAGGAGATAACGCGGAGGAGAAATTGATTCATATGCATGTATGTATGTGAGGGTAAACAAAGTCGGGCTACAAGATGCAATAATGCATGGGTCAACCAGAAGAGGAAAGATCAACTCTCTCTATCTATATATTTATCTTATCGGCTGGCTCGCCCTTGGCAGTTACCCCTGAATGTTTGGTGCTGTTCCTTCGCTTGTTTTTGGTCAAACTTGGAGCGGTCCGCTTCTGAATTTTCTATTCCTACTTTGTCAACCATATATATATGGGTTTGGATAGTGGATATCGAATTTTTGACACAAACTTATTCTGTAATGTATTTTATCGATTCAATTATTTTCTGTTTAGATTTTTTTTCAAAGATCATGTTTACAAATAATCATCCGAATTGAAACCGTATAATCGCTGAATTCATTGATTGTTATATTAGTTTTTTATTTAACTGTATTCGTCCATTTTTTTCATTATAAATAAATCTCTAATAATTCTATATTTGTCTTTTTTTTTCTTTTTTTTTCTTTTGCATAAATAATTTAAAGACTGGTTAAACCTTTGACTCCGACCCTATATGTATGCATGTGACTCCGACCCTAACCTGTTTTATTGGTGTACTTTACCGCGTATCTTTGACTAATTGCCAACCGTAGTCGTATCAGCCAATCATTTCTTTAAAATCGCGGCCATAAAATACTAGGACAATATTGCATAAAGAGGGACGTCAATCTGCATGGATGGAGGAAATGACTACGAACAAGGATTAGGTGAAGACTGTTATGGCGCCAAGTCAGATTCAAATATATACATACACACACACACACACACACACACACAACTATAGTGATTCATATACCATATGGATTTTTCTTTTAAATCAAATGAAACTTAATTAAAATCGATCAAGAACGTAGGTAAATCTAGAAAAGATATGTCACACGTAATTAAGTGGTCACATAAACCAACAACAAACATCATACCCTTACAATTACAAATTGATTATAAGGAATACGATACAAATCCTACTGACATGAAAGATAACACTTACGAAGACTAAAACTGTAAAGGAACCGCGATGAAAAGAGTACTGCACTCTATGATAATCATACAATCATTAGCCAAGAAGCACTGTTATTTGTTTTCCAATAAATGTCGAGCTTCTTCCTCATAGTCTTTTTTGCATGCTCACAAAATCAAAAGAAATACAAAAGCTACCACCTTAACTCTAAACAACAACCATTGTTCATTGATTCGAGTTTGAACATCATAGCCTCTCATCAACATAGCGAGAGAATGACCGCACCCAAGAACTAAAGGTAGTTAAAAGGTAGGCGAAACACGAAGGAAAGAAAAAGAAGAGACCAAGAGGACTTGTCCCTGACACGCTGCCGGAGGATTTTTTTTTCTTTTCTTTTTTTACTATTTTTCTCTCTAGAGACTAGGGTTTTCTTTTAGTACCATATGGATTGGTTTATCTAAATTACTTTTAACATAATATTACTCGAGCGTTCAATATACCTTCACACTAACACTACTGCATAAGTGTAATCTATATTATATACTAGTAAAATGTGACCGTGAATAACTTTACTTAGTCAAATCAACAATATATCGTTTGTTCATTAAAAAAAAAATCAACATAATGAAAGATTATTAATACAATGTAACCCTTTGTTAATACGGTGTTACCCTGAATTACTGTAATGGAAACAAGCTTATGACTCAATTCATTTAAGTTTGCGGAGCTCTTTTCCCTGGCCCGGTGTTTTGTTCTACATGGTTTTCTTCTGGAAGACTTCTTAATAATTTGATGAGGTTTGGAGAGTTAACATTGAGGATGTCCTTATACCAGTGTTGCTGCCATGGAAGTGGTGTAGACTAATGATAAAGTTGGTTTATATAGTACTTCAAGCATGTTCGGTGCTCTTTTTTTATTTTTATTTTCCATCTCAAAGTTTTTTTCTAAGTGGTTTTTTTGGGATTTTTTTTTTTTTTTTTTACCGAGATTCACATTATTAGCGAACATAATCCAGCTTGATGTATTCTTTCTTCGAAGACTTTGTATCTATAGTTAGTTGTGCTTATATTTGTAAGACCTTTTTGTTTATGCCCCTTGATATTAATCAGATAGCGTGTCTTTTAATTAAGACGCAACTTTAGTTCATGATATTCACGTTTGGATTATGTTATCATGTGTACTATCTTATGATGTTTAATAAAACATCTTATTAAAAATAATAAACTATAATGAAACTAACTAATGCAACATAAGATTGTCAGATTACCGCTTTCTCATCCTTTCTTTGTTCGTCCCACATCAGGAAACCTACCGATAATCACCATTTCTTCAATTTGGTATTGAAAACTGAAAACTTGTTCGTGGTCTTGAAGTTTTCTTTTTCAAAATTGTCCTGATAGGTTAGATTCCCTAGCATATACACATTATCCAGCAAAATAAGCACATACTATGCAAGAAAAGTAAATAAGTACTTGAAATATATGACTTTCAATTAAAAGAATGATATATTTAACAGCTTACAGAAACGATAATATGAGCTCAAAGTATCTTTCTCTTCGAAGACACATGAGAAACGAAAAGACAGTAATACAACATGGCTTGATTGTGCCAACAAAATAATAAAACTAATTAATTAGTAGAAATATCCAACAATCAGGGTCATTTCGTTAGTTGACCGCAGAACAAATGCGGCGGATTTCACCATTTGTGGCAGATTTTACGCCGATGTTACTCATTTTTACCATCGACTTTCCGAACTCGAGGTTGAAATTCAATGCTTGTAAGCCTCTCAAGCCCAAAAACCGTTGGACAAAACTTTTAGTGGTGGCGTCGGTCCACAACTTCTGATCCGACTCAAGTATCCCACGACCATTCTTCAAGTTTGTGAAGAAAGTTGCATCAAATCGACTTGCGCTGCCCGTGTCTAAATCAACACGCCTGGCCGCGTCACCATTTTCAGGGCAAATTGATCGTAGTTGGGCAAGGAATAAAGGGTTGATTGTCTCGTCAGCGCCATTTCCGGTAGTGGTGAAGTTATACAGTCTGTACCTGAAGAACTGGCAAGCTGAGGTGCCAATGGTGTGTGCGCCAACTAGCGTGACAAGATCTTGAGTGTTGAGACCCAAATCTTGGAACTTGGCCTTTTGTACATCAATGGAATCTCTAAAGCCAGGCAAATTAGTAGTCTCGGTTGCCAGAGAAACTCGTCCATCTCTTCTTCCAGTAGGCACATTCCAAGTGAATCCTTTGGTCTGTAGAATTAAATTTACTGAAAATATGAGTACACCCCTTGAAATTCAATTTTCTTTAATTAAAACCCATCATAATAAATTTCTCTAACAAAAACCCAATGACTAGGCTCCAACTAATGACACTTACCTTGGGTCTCTCACTTATTAGTTACATTTATTTTACATTATTTCATTCAATTAAATGTTCAAATACCTTATGGGGATTTGGAAAAAAATTTAAATGCCATGATTCCTATGCATTTAATAGAAAAAAATTTACATGATACCAATGTTCCTTATATAGTTATTTTCACATGATGCTAACACGTAAATTAGTATATCTTACAACATAAAAAAATTATTTTATTCAAAAATATCAATATTTTAAATGTAACGTAGGTAAATTATTTTGCACAACATATATAACAATATAAGTGCCTAGTAAATTATGTAATGATACATGCAAAATAATTTACCTACAAAATAAATAAATATTTTTTTATTCAAAATTAATTAAATACCAATATTTTGCAACAAAAAAAAATATATAAAACAATTTACCTACAAAATAAAAGAATGTCGATTGATTGCACACTCTATCTAATAATAACAAAATGTGGCTAGTATATATGTAATATCACAGGAAAAATAATTTAACTACAAAATAAATAATTTTTTTTTCAGCCAATAAATTCAAATTAATTAATTACATATTATTTTACATAAAAATATAGATAAATTATTTGTACGCATATATATAATTTTAACAAAAATGTGTTTAATACATACATGCAAAATAATTTATCTACAATGATTGTCAAACAAATAAAAGAAATGAAACATATGATGGTAAGGGAAGTATAAAGTAGATACTTTTATAATAATAAGGCACTTATTTCCCACAATTATGGTGGATAATTAAATTCATTAACATAATTAGAGTGTTGTGGCACAATTGTAAATAGTTTGAAAATAATAGGTATTTATTTGTTTACATGACAGTCTACTTCAAATTTGGGTTTTATTTGAATGTTTAAAATGAGATGGGTTTTTGTTAAGAAAATAAGTGTTGCATGAGCTTATATCTAAAGAATCCTTAAATTTATGTTCATTAGAAGGAGATGATTAATTAACTAGACATTATAATTTAGCTAGATACATAAATATTGAGCAATGTTATTCCCAAACTTGGAATGTAATTATGCATTCCTTCCGTTAGTGTTTTAATATTAGTGTATGACTATCCGTTTTTACCGATAATATCAACTTAAAATTAACAAGCACACGAGCTGCAATCAAATTAATAATACTTACCAGAACCACGGAATCACGGGCAGCAAGAGCGAGAATATCTGCACAGGAAACAACCCCGGGACATGCAGCTTCGAGCTTGGTCTTTGCATCGTCAATGACTTCCCAACCTCTTAAACCGAGGTTAGGCCCAGCGGTTTTCTCAGTATTTGGGCCGTCAAGAAGGACAGAAGCATCACAACCTTGGACAAAGCAGTCATGGAAATGCATCCTTAACAAGCCAGGAGCTACGGAAGGGTTGGAGTTGAAATGAGTTTGAACTGTTTGTTTGACAATAGACTCTGCCGTGGGACATGTACGCGAATAGAATCCAACGCGCGTAAGGTGGCCTTGGCCTTGCACCATCACCAAGGTGGTAGCAAAACCAACAAGTAGCTGTAGAAAGAACATTAGTAACAATTTGGAGGAGCTCATGTTGTGGTACACTTTGTGG